AAATATGATCTACTACTATTTTTGACCTAAAATAATAATAATTTGGGTGATTTGAATTAGGCACACAAATGAACGGAATAAGAAACAAGGCCAATTTTCTGATTGGAATTAGGATCAAAAACGGATTTAGTGTGTATACATTATCAAAACAGAAGTGCAGTGATATGCTTAACCAAATTTATTTACTACTAGCTGAGTGTGCCCGGTCTTGCTCGGGATTCAATATTAGCTTGAGTTTATGCGCCGATTTAAAAAAAAAGCATGCTCTATTGTACGTAGCCCCCCCCCTATTATCTAAGGGGCTACCCCCTATGATTATCTCCTTATACCCCCACACTCGCCCCCACATGCCTAATTTGGTTCCATTTGCTTGATTAGTTCTCGAGTTATGCAGAAATTTCTGTTTCATTTGTATGGGATCCCCCCCTTACAGAAGGGGGAGGAGTCTCGAACCATCATAAGAACCTTCCACGGCCCCAAAAACCCCTGTATACAAATTTTCACGCCAATCGGTTCAGTAGTTTCCGAGTCTATAAGGGTCAGACAGACAGACAGACAGACAGACAGAAATTCATTTTTATATATATAGATTGAATAAACAGAATAAAACAATATAGCGTGTGGCTTTCAAATACGAAAACACTATTTTTTAGAGCACTTAGACATAGTTCACTGCCTTAGGTGAACGGAATTAGGGCACAGCGCGGTATAATAAAATATGAGCACTTCCTTAAACCACAGACAAACAGACATAACACATTGAATACAGGGTGCGTGACGAATTTTTGCAGTAAATTTCAAATAGTAATTTCTCATGCTTGTGCATCATGATTTAGATATATTTGGCAGCACTGGATAGCTTATACTGTTAGGTGTAAGATTTAAACAAACAATCTTGAGTAAACGTAAAGATGTCGAAACAAGAGAGCAATCTGTCAGCCGTTGTGGCTTTGTTGCGCGCCGGAGTATGCATGAAAGAAATAATTCGGTCGGTAAATGTGTCTGAAAGAACAGTGTATAATATTAAAAAGGCTTGCTCATACTGCTCATAAAGCACAGAAATGGCTTACGGAAAATATTTCGTAAATTTGGGAGGAAGAAATTTGGCCCCCAAGCAGTCCCGATATCAATCCGTTGGATTATTTTGTATAGGGCGTCGTCCAACGGGATACCAATAGAACCCCTCACACCACACTTAAGTCGCTAAAAGCTAAAATCAAGGCAGTGATGACATCTATGGATCGAAACATTTTAAAACGTGCATACTGCAGTTTCCGGAAGCGTCTAACTACAGTCGTCGAAAGGGAAGGCATTTTTTTTTTAATAAATTTACTTACAACTTCCATATGTTGCGAAAAAAAAAAAAAATCGCACAAAATTCATTGCTAGAATAACTAACTGGTGTATTTATTCTCAAATATGCCATTTACTGCAAAAATTCGTCACACACCCTGTATTTCTCACTGTAAAACATCTTCGTTAAAACATTACCGCCATCTGTCGAGTACACTGTGGTGGGCACACCGCAGATGGCGGTAATGTGTAAACATCAAACGCAAGTGAATTGACTATGCGCGCCACAGGTGGCGGTACTACCAACTACGATACTTTTAAATAGTCCGTTAAATGCTTGTTCGATGAACAACTTGCGAGTGTTATGACTTAGTCACTATTTTGAAGTAAGTCACTAAAAAGCCACTTTTTACACCAAAAAGTCACTAAAGTCACTATTTCCCTAAAAATAGTCACTAAAGTCACTTTTTCACTACTAAAATAAAGTTTTGTAAGGAGTTTAAAAATATTAACAAAATGCTTAAATTTAGTGGGTGAAAATGCTTAAATTTAGTACTTGGCTCTAAGAAAGTCTACAGTAGTTTTAGCAAAATATGCATACCTGTTATAAAATTGAAAATGTTAACCAGAGTGACCAGTGAAACGCAAAACTTTAGAAGACCAGGAAAAGTATTGGGAAATGCCTTCAATTTCGATTAAAAATCGGGGAAAATTAACCTTCTTTCCCAGAAAATAAATAGTAAATCTTGTAAACTTTCCAAAGGTATTTGTCTGTGATAGATTTTAAAAAGGCTTTCAAGGATGATAATGAACTTTAAATAATTCAAAGTAAATTTTAAGAGAATTTTAAAGGATTTTAGAATATATCGAAAAAGAATACCAAAGTACAGACTACGAAAGTCTCATGTAAAATTAAGTGCCCTGAGGACTGATTTCTTCATCTCCGCTTAAATCTTAAGCCAGGTTTACCTATACAGTTAAACTTGGCTTAACACACACGAGCTTCACTTTTGATTATTGTTTAAATTATTAGAGACGCAAAATTCAGCGCTGAAACAATTTTTTTGAAATAATTCCAATATAATGGAGAGTGCATTCTAACGAGAGTTCTGACTAGAATTCTATGATGATTCGATGAGGATTCTAGGTTCAATTCTAATAAGAATTCAAAATTAGTTCTGAAATTTTGCTTGAGGGAGCTCTGATGAAAATTCCATGAAAATCCCGTGAACTCCAAAGATGGTCTCTGCGGATAGTTCTAAAAGAATTCTGGGGTGATATCTGAAGATACTTCCATGAGAATTCTAAAGAGCTCGAAATAAATTCCGAGAAGAATTCCAATAGAATCGAATTTGGAGGGTTCAATCTCAAAGGAATTCTGAGATGAGTTTCAAAGTTATTCTAAAATGGATTTTAGTTTTGAGAATTCTGCGGAAATACTATGGGAATTCTAAGAAGAATACGAATTGAATTTCCAATTGAATGCAGGGGGAAGTCCAAGATTATTCTAAGCAAAAATTTATGAAATTTCTGAGGTTAATTGCATGGAAATTCTAAGGAGAATTCAATTAAATTTAAAATTGATTTATGCAAGGAGCCTTCAGGAAGTTCCTAGAAGAATCAATAAAAAATCGAAAATAATCTACTTTAACTAATCATGTGTTATTACATCATGCGTTAATTTAACGATTTACATAGCCGGAGATGCTTAACGTAAAATATCAGACTTAGTGGAGATTTTATACAATAGATGAGGATATTAAATTATAGAGTTGATAGTTCCGTTATAGTACGGCAGTGTGAAAATTGTATAAACAAAGAAGAAAGCGATCAAAGGACAATTTTGAGGAAGGTACGAAACAGGTAGTGGTTTCCGTCCGATGGGACTTGAGTGTGAAACAATCGATAGAACATTGGAGGTACATAAGCAAATCGGCGATCATCCCTTTTTTCGGTGACAGGGGGAAACACCCCTCACCATCCCTCATTAACGGATGAGCTTGGTAAAGGAAATGCGATTCGTGCCTTCCTCAAAATTGTCCTTTGTTCGCTTTCTACTTTCTATATACAAATTTCACATTATAACGGAACTATCAACTGTTTACTTTCATCTCCTCGTCTATCGTATAAAATGTCCACTTTAATCCTGATTTTTGATGTTTAGCATTTTCAACTACGAAAATAATCTATTTCCAAGAATTTTGTTGATTGTTCTGCAAAGAATTTCAAAAATGCAATATTATTTTTGTAAAAGCTTATTTGCCTCAAAGTTTAAGAGAAGGGGAATTATTCTAAAAAAGTTCTTGAGATCATTCTGAAGAAATTCTGTGAAAAGTTCTTAGCGAATTATCAACGTTATCTACCTAGATAAATCAAAATTTTAAAGATTTCAAAGGCAGAGTCAAATTCAAGATCTTAAAAAAATGGGAATTACTATTTGCTAGTCATCATGTATAACGTAAGCAAAAGTAAATTATTCAAATCACTTCAAATGCTCTTCACAGGAGATTCCGTTGTGAAATTCTGTTGTGAGATTCCGTTGTGAGATTCCGTTGTGAGATTCGATTAAATTAGAGGAATTTATGAAATTTGATTTTAAGTTCCATGCCATAAAAGGTTTATCAAACCGTATTTGAATTTCTAAGTTACAATATGAATGGTTACTTATTTAGTATGTTCAAGTCACTATTTGGTCACTATTTCCGTAATTTAAGTCACTAAAGTCACTACTATTATATCGCATCAGCACTACCAGCCCTGCAAGTGTGACCATGGGTGTTAATGTATTATACAAATAATGCTCATACTCATAGTTTGTTATACAAGTGTATCCGCAGCATTACTCTCTGAAACAAAAAAATTGCATGTTTTATGTGTCAAACACTTATTTTACGACCTCTTCTTAGATGTATAAAATATCATAACACCTAATGATTTCATAACTCATAAATATTTTTTTAGTTAAATAAGCATTTTTAACGTTGTTTAGAATTTAAAATCCAGTAGTTTCTTTTTTTCTAACAAATGATTTTCAGCTATGCGAAAAATGTTGTGAAATTTCGATGGTCGATGCTGAATGATATTGGCAGCATTCTACTCCTGAGGAAAACTAATGTTGGCATTCACTTCTAGCCTAGCAGGATGAATTGCAAATGCTAGGTACATATCCAAGCAACACACATGTTCTATAAGAGATATTCATCAAAAATCTAATCACATACTGCTGACAAGGCAATTTTATTTTATTTTTTAGAGTCCGGTCATAAATAAAGAGGTTCAATCAAGTACTTAAAGACTGCTAGTATAAATATTCTTGGCAGCCCGAAACTAAAATCTCATTTTATATTGAAAGATCTTGGCCTGTGCTTGATTTTCGTCTTCGAAATGATTACAGTTGAGTTGTATTCAAATGTTTATCGAAAATCCGAAAATGAAACAAAACTTATATATTTTGACGCAGTAATTACCCTGCCTAGTCTAAAGTGACAATTTAAGCTTGTTTCCTCTATCTATAATCCTATCATTTAGCTCCACTAATTACACACTGAATTAAAGTTGTCAATCACAGAATGAATGACATAATCCAACGTTGACACAGCACAATTGAACTACCGACCGGTAAGGTCGTTTGAACACTTCATCAGTTTATGACACTAGACACTAATTAACACTGTGACTGCTCAAAAATGAATACGACCTTCACTTACGTAGCTCTACGTCTGGATCATCCACAAACTCGGTAGCACTGGATAGGGCGCACAAAGCGCACAATAGCATCAACACTTTCATCTTACTTAGCAAGCACAAAACCTACAATCTCACCGAAAATCGTCAGTTTTCAACTCGGGAAACTCACAACCTAGTCTGGAAGTGGCTACACGAGAACCCTTCTATTTATATGACTTAACCGAATCAAGCCGCACACCGGCAAGATTTAGCTACTTGCCTTGAAATGAAAATCACTAGTAGGTAGGTAAGTACAAGTTTTACAAGATTTACAGTAGTATTGTGCCGAGTGATGCTACTACTATCCCGATCAGTAGTGTAGCTTTGCAGTTCTATAGATACTATGTAAGCTTCAGTGGAGCCTTAACCTGCCTAGGGGATGTAGAGAAGAAAATCGGAAATTTATCACTGCAACTGCAAACCGGCATGACGGCCAAGTTCAAAGGTGAACCTGGAGTCTGTTCGATAGTCGAGAAGAGAGGATGCTTAGTTGTAGTAGTAGTCTTAAACAAACCTCACGAACCCACCGATGTATCAATCGTGCGGAGAACGTTCTAAGAGATTACACGATGTTTACAGTTCATTAGATATTCAAGGCGCTAATGTTCTTACTTACTGGTTAGGATTTTACAGGAAATGATAAGTGTGCACTGTTATAACGCGTGACATAATGATGGTGATGTAAATTATTAGCACATTGTGTCCAAGCATGCCAGGTGCAGGAAACCTCAAGCCTTAACGGAAACCCTACTTGACGATGTTGCAGGTCGACTAAAGGGAAATAGGTTAGAACCTGACCTGCTGAGGTAAACCAGCTTAACGGCTGATTGAAGCCTTTAAAGGAAATATAGGAAGCTTATCTTAAACCGCTTTTGCTCAACCCCGTTTTACACGAGGTTTTACAGCGAGGTGAAACTGATTGTATTTAAATGTATGAATTTATGCAACGTAGCATATTTATACGGTTTCCATCTGTGATAGACTCATGAAATTCCTGATTACCGGTGTAGATAAGGTTCCAATGCGTGACATCAATGACGATATTCACAGCCGACTATGACCATCACAATGTAATGATCTATTCCAACGGTCTCAGGAAAATTAGTCTAAAAGATGAGCTGTTCGCAGATGCGATGGCAATTTAAAGAAATTATGACCCGAGTTTCGCTCTTCATCCACTGACCAGTGCACAGTGGGGCGAACACAATTTAAAAAAATAATCAAGTATGTCAGATCTTTTGATATGTTTCCCTAATCTCCAATACAACTTAGAAATTCAATCAAAGCCCAATCAGCAGAGAAATGTATTTTTGGTGGAATTTAAAAGTACCAAAATGCATAAAATGCTAGACAAATTACATTTTCCATAGAAGTAGTTTCTCTCCTGTTAAAAAATGTAATTATAGCGTTTATATTTCTTTAAAGAGTACGTCATATCCAAAAAACGAATCGGACAAAAGGTCAAAAGACAATTATCAAATGGACAAAAGGTCGATTTGAACTTAAAGGAACAACAGGTCCAAGAGACAAAAGGTCGAATTGAACTTATAGGGACAAAATGTCGAATTTAAAAAGATCGAATTGAAAAAGAACGAATGGACAAAAGATCAAACTAAACACAGAAGTACAAAAGGACGAATGGTGAAAAGGTCGAATTTAACATAGAGGGACAAATGGTCGAATGGAAAAAAAGGCCGAAATAAACAAAAAGTTCAAGTGGATATAAGTTCAGAAAAACAACATCAAAATTGACCAAATATTGTTTGGAAAATTTTCGCTCAGAGTTTAAAAGAACTTTAAAAAATACTATGCATATACTCCCATACAACTGATCATGATTTAAAGAAGGAATTCTAGATAAAGGCAGTTATTTGTCGCTTAAATTGCAGTGATGCGTGCACCCAACAAACAATCACATATTGAAGAAACGACCTCTTGGCGATTTTATTCAACTGCATGCTTAAGGGGTTACATATATGTAAAATCGACCAAAAAATCGATCTGTTTAACGAGTCTTCATTCCAAAAATGAACCGATTTGGTTAAAGCAGTTATGATATCGTGGGACCCGTTTTTTCAAACCACTAACTTTAAATAAGAATATCTCAGCAATTTTGATACCAAATGTCTTCATATTTATTTGGTCGACGAGGCTTGGTAGCTCAGCGGTTACCGTTTCTGCAGTGGTTACCCCATCCTTTCAATTTTCACTTTGTCTTATTCTATCCCCACAAGATTTAAAATGAAAACGACTTCTGCTTTAACCAAACCGGATCGCATCACTTACCACACACTGAGACAAAAGAACGTAAGAATTCCATAAGAACCACGTATGAATTTTTCAGCCACAAGAAATCAGTATGAATTTCATTGATTTGCCTTGTGAAAAATGTTATGTTGTAAAAAAAAAATTATAAAATGGAGCAGACTGGAACCGAACCATGGCCGATAAGGATACGGGCCCCATGTGTTAACCACTCGTCTAAAAATAACCCACCTCACTAACACAACTTTCCTCCCCGTGAAAGCCGTGGAGATGCAGAGGTGTATTCGCTCTTTAGTAACAACGGACGTCCAACTAATCATCCTTCCCTCCCCAAAAGACAGTGAGGACATGGCCGGCGCTGTGATGGATCTATAAATAGATTGACTTAGTGTGCTTGTACATTGAAGATGGAAAGCTAATCCCATGCACCATCTACGTAATTCTCTGTGCAAGTGCATTAGTTCTGATCAATCATGGAGGAGCAACTACGAAATGCAGGGTCTTTTTTTTCAAGAAAAGTGTCTTCATATTTATTCTGTTTACAGTTGAAAATGTATATTTTGATACCCTGAAAATAAGTTCAAAGAAAAATTTGAATGTGTGTTTATTATACCAACCCTTGATTTTATTTACCGACATATTTACTTACTAATAATACAATACTTGTACTATTTTTAAAACTGCTCTATATATCCTCTATTAAACTTCTGTTCAGGCTTTGTTCACACAAATCTGAAGAATTTATTCAACCACAACCATTGAACTACTTGGTGTTGTATAGGGTATGTCGAGAAGCTTTTATTCGACTTACATGAGTTGTAATTTTTGATTGTTCAGCGTTTATAAGACAGCATTGCTCCCTTAAAACAGCGATGATATAAAGGTGTATATACACGCAGGCAAAAGAACGTACACACTAATCGAGTCAGTACGGTTTTACCGAGTTTTTGAATTGCGGAACTGTTCGGTAAAAGTTTAAAAATCTGTGGAAAATTTATTAATGAGAAAATTTGTTCTGAACTTGTACATACTTAGTTCTGTTAACCCCATTTAATGATAGAAAATAAAATTGATTGATTTCATTGATTCCTTACGGATAACGGTCATTTGAATTTTTACCGACTTTTTCAGCAATTCAAAAACCCAGTAAAAAAATACTGACTCCTGTAAAAAAAGAATTCCATAAGAAACACTTATGAATTTTAGCCACAAGAAATCAGTATGAATTTCATTGATTTGCCATATGAAAAATAATGTTGACAAACATAATAAATCGGAGCGCAGACTGGAACCAGACTGGATAATTTCACTTTTTGAGAAATTATCCTGCAATTAATAAGACACTCAAACTCAATACATACATATATAGACATGTCCGTGTTTGCATGGGATTCGAACCATGACTTTCCGATCACCAGCCGCTTGCCTTGCCATCTGAGCTATCCTAGAATATATCATATGGGCAGCTAAATGATCAATACAAGCTTGAATCTGAATACCTATCAGCACTCCCGATCGTAACTCTAGCTACTTCAAGGAGCTGTGAGAATGATTAATTCATTCATCGTTGTTGTACATGAGACCAATGTTAGCTCTTCACTTCTCTAATTTTCATGGAAAGGATGCAGGGCTATTCTTTTCACTAGATCGATGAATTCGTTGTCGTGACTGATGTTATCGATTATTACGATTTAAATTAATTAGGCGTAGAACATAACTAAAAAAAGGGTTGAGGTTGGGATTGAACTCGTGACCTTCTATTTGGAAAGCGGAAACGGTAACTACTATGCTACCAATTTCGTCTTTTTGTTAGGCTGAACCAGTGTTGTGGAATAATAAATGAATACGTCGTTTGTAAAGCATTAACAAAGCATACAATTGAAAAATGACTACATAGTGGTATAAGAGCTATAATGCTGACTGTATTCACCTTTATTCAGCAATATTGTAAAGCAATGCAATGAAATCTAATAATGGAGCTAGAAAACAATTAATATACGTCTAATGAAGCATGTTAGTAAATCAATCTGGTATGTGCAAATTACACTTATTCAGTATTTTATTAGATCAAACTTCTGGTGTTGAATCAAAAAGACAGTCAATGTTTATATAGCTATTAATTAGTAATTTAATCAGATCAGAGCAAACAGCGGAATAAAGGCGCATCTATCGATCTCAATGAGGTTTTTTTCAGCACATAATTCGACAAGCCGTTTTATTCAGCGTTGTTCACTGTTCTACAGCATTTATTCAATATAGGGGAAATGTCTCTAATGTTGGCCTATGGATCTAAGATTGGGCCCACCGCTAAAAATCTGCTATTTATCAATTTTATATCTATGGATATTTTTGGTTGCTATTGAAAATTTAGTCGATTGCTGAATTTATGTATGGGCCCAAATTAAGAACACTTAGGCCAACATTACCTGCATTTCCCCTATATTGAATCCTCCTATGGACCACTTAGTACCGTTCCAATGACGCGTTCATCTAGATAAAATTGATCAATTGATCTGTATGTCTTTTTTCCTTTATTTAAACGTCGGTCTCTGTTCCGCAATCTAGTGCCAATCACCCACGGACATCGATTGCCATCCATTGGCGGCAATCGAATGTGCAGGAAAGGCAGCTTTTCCACACCTGCGTAGGATATCGCACCCATTCAACACACATACAAGGGGCGGGACCAACGGCTTTACTTCCCCCTTCCGAAGGAAGACGTGACCAGATATATGCCTCAGAAAAACCCATCGACCTCGGCTGGGATTGAGCCCAGACCCATTGGGGTGAGAAAGCAGTCATGCTTACCACTACACCACCGGCGCCGGCTCTGTAGTGGCAATGCTGTGGCATAGCACTACTGTTC